AAGCTACAGCTCTGGCTGCACTGTCCTAGCCCCCGGGGGGCCGGATCCCCCGTGCACTGCGCCACGGGCAGGGCGGAGGGGGGACCCCGGGGTTGGGGGATGCCTTCCAGCGTGGCCAGCGCCTGCCCCTCGCCCTCTGCCCGCTCTGTGCCGTGGTCGCCACCCTCCACCGCCCTCTTGGCCCCTTGGCCGCCGGGGGCCCCCCTCACCTGTAGGGGTTCTCCGTAGCCCTGCTCTTGGCGCGCTCGGGGACCCAGGAGTAGCCGTCAGCCGCGCTCTGGGGCTTCTTCTCCTCCTCCTCCCTCCCGGCCCTGCGCTTGCGACAGACCAGCAGCCCCAGAGCCAGAGCCAGCAGAAGCAGGATGGCCACCACGGTGCCCAGGATGTAGAACAGCAGCAGCCTCTGCCCGTCTGCACCCTCGTCGCTCTGTTCGGCCTTGAAGTCCTCCCCTGCCAGCTCCCCGGGGGCGGCGGTGGCCGTGGGCTGATGGGTGCTGGGCTCCGTCCCAATGCCAGGGGTCCTGCTGGGGGCCAGCATCTCAGGTGGGGCCAGGGAGGCAGGGACGGGGATGCTGGGGGGGGAGGAGGCTCCCCTGGAGGTGGGTGCCACCTTGGAGGTGCCCTCAGTATCCCTGGTGGGACTGGGTGTGTTGGCGGACAGCACAAGCGTCCCCTCTTCATTGCTCATGTGCCCCCTTTGGGGAGGCCTGGCCGGTGGGCCAGGGGACGTGGGGCCCCCGGTGCAGGAGACCCCGTCGGGGGCCAGCTCCCAGCCCGGCAGGCAGCCACAGCGGAAGGACCCCTCCGTGTTGAAGCACAGGCCGCTGCAGGGGCTGCCCTCCTGGCCGCCACACTCGTCCACGTCCAGGCACTGGGTGCCGTCCTCCCCGGCCAGGATGTAGCCGTCCTCGCAGGAGCAGTAGAAGGAGCCTTCAGTGTTGGTGCAACTCTGGGTGCAGGGCGAGCGGCCGGGGGCGCACTCGTCCACATCCCAACAGGGCCCCTCTCCAAGGCCGCTGGGCTCGTAGCCCACCCAGCACTCGCAGCGGAAGCTCCCGGGGGTGTTGACACACTCCTGGGCGCAGGGGGCATCCTGGCACTCGTCCACGTCCACGCAGTCCTGCTGAGTGGGGTCCAGCTGGTAGCCCTGGGGGCAGTGGCACGTGAAGTCCTTCCCGAGGGGCCCAGGGACACAGGTGGCCCCCCCCTGACATGGGCTGGAGCTGCAGGGGTCCCGGGAGGCGCAGGTGACCAGGTCGTCCCGCAGCCGGAACCCCGGCCGGCAGCCGCAGCGGAAGGAGCCGTCCCCGCCCTCGAAGCACTCCTGCTGGCAGCCCCCGTTGTTGAAGTTGCAGCCGAGCCGGGCGCTGATGCAGAGGGGCCCCGAGGTGTCCCAGTCGAACACGTCAGGGGCCTTCTCCTTGCACAGGAAGTAGCTCTGGAAGCTCGCGGCCCCGGCCCCGTCCCCACAGGCCACGCTGGCCACAGAGGCGAAGGGCACGGCCTGCAGGGAGGAGCTGCTGGCCTGGAAGGGGGTGCTGTAGTTCACCTGGCCGGGGCCCCCCAGGGTCAGGGGCCGGCACATCCCCTTGAAGCTGAACTTGCAGACAAAGCCCTCGATGCCGCTCCCAGGAGACCTGGAGCTCCCGCAGGGGCCCTCGGCCCACCTGGGGAGGCTGCCGAGGGCGGGCAGCGACAGCTCCAGCAGCAGGGACACGCAGCGCTTGGAGATGCAGGAGTTCCTGGCCCCCTTGTACCAGTTGGTGTAGAGCGTGTCCTCCCCGCCGCCCACCCAGCTGAAGCCCTTCAGCGTCCGGTTGCTGTCCAGGCACTTGCCCTTGTCTCGCTGGAGCCCGATCCAGAACCGGCCCATGCGCCCCGCCGGGGGCACCGCCGTCTGCAGGAGCCGGGCCAGGGCGCTCTGGATGTGCCGGGCCTCCTCCTCGGTCTTCACCGTGGCCAGGTTGCCCCCCTTCTTGCTGCAGCGCTGCTGGGCGTCGTCCGCACTCAGCTTGCCCCAGTGGGCGGTGTAGCAGGCCGCCCCCGCGCAGACCACGGCCTCCTGCCCCTCGGCGGCCCCCGCCCGGGGCAGGGCCAGCAGCGACAGCAGCAGCAGGCCCAACGACGTGGCCATCGTGGGCTCCGGGTCCCCTGGGCGGGAGGCTGGCAGCCCCAGCTGAGCTGCAAGGGGAGCCCGGGGCTGCGACGTGGACGCTCTGTTGCCGAGAAGGACACAAAGGCTGAGGGCTTTCAAGGCCCCCTGACCCAGGGCGCATCCTGTCTTACTTCTCACCGGATACCCCGGCTTCCTGCGCTGAATTGTTTCTGACTCCTGTCACCCCCATCACGGTTTTGTTGTTCATAAAAGGAGCCAGGCCACGTCGCTGGGCCGCAGATAAGGAAAGGCGGTGGTGTGAGGGGAGACGTCTGCTTACGGCCCGGAGACACCAGCTGCTGCGTTCTGGCTCGGTGCTCGCTCCCATCTGCGGGAGGGCGCGCTGTGGAGCGAGGAGAGACTCTGTGGGGCTCAGGGCTTGAGGAAGCTCACTTTGTAACCCAAATACAGCTCCACTTTGGTTTGCAAACAACCAGAAGAAGAAAAAAAATTCCTCCAACTTGAGACATGAGGCCATGGATGGTTATAATTTTCAGCCTTTTTTAGAAGCAAACTGCATTTCCTTTCGCCTCTCTCATGTTCCCTTTGGCTTTGGAAGTCTTTTTTCTCTGATTCCCCCATCGTGAACTTTAAATAGATAGGCACTTCTTAAATAGGAACCGGGCCGTGGGAACGTCTGTGTTTCTTACACAATGCCAAGCTCCTCGAGGACATTCATCCAACGGGGTAAAATGTGGCAGTTTTCAGGGTTTTGTACTGCAAACACTGTGTTGTGGTGTGACTATGTCACAAAAAGTCTCAGAAAGGAAAAATGGAGACCTTTCTGGCCCCCCGGCCCCAGGCTCGCAGCTTGTTTCTCTCCGCCTGGGGTTACAGGGAGGGCGGGCGGTCTGGCCCAGAACCAGCCCGGGCCACACATCCCTCCTTCCGCACAGCCTCTGACAAAGGCCCTTGGACCCAGCGGTTCTTTCCTGCGATGACAGATGTGTTTTGCTCCTCAGGGCTGTCACTGGTTGGGGTCCCAGAGAAGTAGACCCAAGACAAGGATCTGAGACAAGCAGTGCATTTAGGAGGGGAAGTGAGGCAGGGATGAGGAGGGGCCAGCGTTCAATGAACCAGCAGATGGGCTGTGGCTCCGGACCTCTGTTCCCTGGTGGGGAGGCCCTAGGAGACGGTGTGGACCATGCGTCAGATTCTCCCCGAGGCGGGGGCTGGGCTCTCCTCCTCCTGCTCCCCTCCCCCCGCGGAGGCAGCTCCTTATCAGTCTGGCTGGTGGGGAGGACCCAGGGTCCCGGGGGATGCTCAGGTGGAGGGTGGCAGGAACTGCCGTGTGGGGCGTGTGCGGCACCAGTGTCTGCCACACTGGCTCCCCTCAGAGATTTGAGTTAGCGTGTTGTGGGGCTGAGGAGCTCCCTGGCTTTCAGCCCCCACAAGGGATAAAGTAGCCACCCCCAGGCTCCATCAGAGACCCTCAGAGGGAGCGCCTCATGCCTTTCTGTGTTAATCAGAAGTTTGCAATAGCCCAGAGATGCTTCCTTAGAACCCATAGGATTTTTCCTGTGCTCTTTAGTGCCCGTCGAGATCCATCCATCCATCCACTCATCCATCCATCCATCTACCCCACCACCCACCTACCTACCCATGCATCCATCCATCCACCCATCCATTGAACCAATGTTAACTAAGGCCTTATTATGTGCTGGGCTCAGCACTGGGATTCTAGGAGAAAACTCTTGCCTCCATGACCCTTGACATCTCTTAGAGGGGACAGACTAGAACATGTTGAACAGTTGCAGCTGTGACAGGTGCCTCAGAGCATCAGGAGAGGTCCGGACCTGGTTGAGGGGTGGGCTGCTGGGCTGGCTCCTGTTGGGGAGAATGGCAGCGAGGCCAGAACTGAAAGGACGAATAACAGAGAGGAAGGTGATGGCCGCGCGGGGGAGTGGCTTGTACCCAGGCCCTGGGGGCGGGGGGGGCATGTCCTTCCTAAAGGAGCGAAGAAAGGCAGTCAGACAAGACCCTGGGGAGTGGGGAGGGGGCGCTCTGGGAGCCCAGGCAGTGAAGACAGGGGGCTTTTCCTCTGAAATCCCTGGGGAAGCACTGACGTCTGGCATGGGGAGGCCAGCATGGGGGAGATTCCGTCCCCGCAGTGAGGGACCACCAGGGGCACCGGAGGGCCTCTCCGCCGGCAACCGCAGGTTTCATGAAGCTGTGTCTTTCCCTTTTTTGTGGAAGTAAAACAAATATAAAAATGTTTTAAATAAAAAATAAAGAACAAAGAAGGACAGTAGCCCCATCGTGCCCCCGTGTGACCTGCTGCACGGACGCCCTGGTGCACATCCCACGTGTGCAGAGCCACGTGAGGCCGCGCTCTCCCTGGGGGCAGCTTGTGAGTTTCCAAGGGTTCTGCACTGAAAGACAGAACACATATACCCCAGATGCGAACCCCACTCTGCAGCTCACGAGCTGTGTGACCTTTATACGCTGCTGGGCCTCTCTGTTCATGCACAACAGTCTGCGGCTGTTTCTGCACCTCATGGGGCTCTGTGAGGGTTCAGTGGGCTCACGCCTGTGCACCACTGGTGAGCTACCATCCCACCTGGACTCTGACTCTGGCAGTTGGAACTGAAATCACATTTTGGCCATTTGCTGGCTTTGGGGCGGGACCCAGACACTGCGCCTCTGTCACATTTGCTGCAGAGTGGCAGCTTTGATTTTCCAAAGGCTCCCTCCCACCCCTTCCGAGTCCTTGTTTGGCTCCTTGCTGGGCAGACGTTCTTGGAGAGCATCACTGACTTTTCCGCACTTCGTAAAGAGACCCCCCTCGCCATTTACCCTGCACAGTATTTACCGAAAACTTGACTGGGCCGGAGGCTGGCTTCAAGGCTCGCTGTGCTCGTCTCCGGGATCTGGCAAAGGCCCTTGTCAGCACTCGGAATCACATAATCACAAAGACAGCGGCGCTTTCGGCAGATTCCGTCTCCAGGGGCGAGACACAAGGCTGTAGACCCTGCTCGCGCGGCCGGCCTGGCGACGTGCAAGGTCCGTGTGGCGTTCACAGCACTCTCGGGGGGTCCAGTAAGTGGCCGTACACTTTAGCCTTAATTAGACAAGACAATGTTACAGAAATAAAACCGAGCTATTTGCCTCACGTGCCAGGATTCGATTCTCTGTGAAAACGGGGAGGTTACATGGCGGTTCTTAGGAAAGAGGCCACGCAGGCCCAACAGACAGAGTCCGTTTCCTCCGGGAAGCTGACTGGGCAAGCCTGTAGATTCCTGGAATGCGCAAGGACGCATTGCCTCAAGGATGCTCTGAGAACCAGCCAGGGGCATCTGGGTCCAGGCCGGGGCCGCTCGGGAGAAGGGTGCCGGGCTGCCCTTGGCCTCTGGTTCAGGCCGCAGAGGAGCCGCGTGTCCCACTGCAGGAGTACAGGGAAAAGCTGAGCCTGTCTGCTGGGCAGGGTCGCCCCCACGCCTTGCCTGGCCTAGGCCGGCATCCCCAGACTCGAGCAATGTAGCACAAATGAGAGTGACAGTCCCCACCTTCAGTAGGTGTGAGTCAGAATGTGACACGAGCCCAATGACACAGGGCTACCGCCGTTCCTCTGGGCCCCAGCTGCCCAGTGAGTGGGCAGAGCCCCCGCAGAGGCGCTGGGACTGCACCGGCGCTCGGTGCAGTGACGGGCGGCGCTCTCACTCGTGAGCACAGCCTCCCATGTACCATGAGACAGTTCTAAGGACCATGGTTGTCACTTCTGCCCTGGCTGATTCTCGAGGGAGTGACCCAGAACACGCCAGAGGCAGGAGGTGTCCAGGGTCTGTAAGTCAGTGCCACAGCCACCCACCCCACCCCGCCACAGACGTGCAGAGGTGGCACCACCCCGGCATCAAAGAGGCCTGCCTGCCTGCCCGCCTGCCGCAGGGCCTGTGGGATTCGGGGGAGCGGAGCTGGTCAGAGCAGAGAGCCGACGGTGGGTGCTGCCAGAGGGGGCCCCCGGCCCGATACCCAGGCTGCCGTGAGCAGGGCACGGGAGCCGGGTGTGTCGTCAGAGCCGGCGCTGAGATCTCGGCTGGTGCCCAGCGAGCTTTCCCCACCTGCCCCAGGATCTGGCTCCAGGCGGTCCCTCGGGGTGCGTCCATCACGCTCCGCACTGCGGCCATAGGCAGTGGGTGTCTGACCTGCAATTCTGTGTGGGCGCCTGGTCTGGTGGAGGCAGAGGAGGCCGACGGGTGCACGCGTCATAACGTCACCCAAACAGCACCATCGGAGGCTCACACACCCAGAGACGTGCCCGCCTGGCCCCTGTCAGGCCCAGATCAGAGCCTGCCCATCTCCCCCGGAGGCGGCTGCGGAGCACTGGGACCCACCAGTCAAGTAATGGGGTGCCCACTCTGCTGGGGGTGATGAGGGGCTCCTCGGGCACCTTAGAGTCTGGTCTTTCTGGCCCTCTCTGCAATTCCACAGAAGCCGGGAATCAGCCCGAAGCCTGAGGCCAGTGGTACCCCGGGAGTCCTCCTCTCGTGCCGGCCCCGCCCCTTGACTGCAGGTGGGTGGCCTGACGCTCCGGTGCTCTTCGTTGTCCATCTGTGACTGGCCAGCGTGACCCTGACCCTCACCACGCAGCAGGGGGCGGGCAGGCGGGGAGGACCGGAGGTCGCCAGCCCACGTCTCCCGCCGGGCGAGGGCGTTTGCTGGGCCAGCGGATGAAGGACCTGCTTTGACACCCCAGGAAGAATGGGCAACCGAACGCCGTCCTTCTGAAAACAGACCAGTCTGCTTCCTTGCACCCCTCGGCTTGAAATGACAAAACCCGCCTTTTCCCAAGCCGCTCCGTTTCTGTGCGTCTCCGCTCCTGCGCCCAGGGAAGAGGGGCAGGAGTGAAGACGGGAAAGGGGGCCGGGCCGGGGACTCGGCTGTGGCACAGGCAGGTGGGGGGCGTGCCGGGGGTGGGGGGCCCGCGACCCTGCCCAGGCGCAGTGAGGGCAAGAGCCCTTTTTAATCAGGCATTTCAACTGGGACCGGACTTCCACGACTGACGCCCCAAACCAGCACCGAACCCTGTTAAGACTGACGGGGTCAGGGCACAGCGGCCCAGGGCGTGCAGAGGCCCCAGCTCAGTGTCCAGTGGATTCGGCTCCATGGCTGCCCTGACCCTGGGTGTACCTGCCGGAGTTTGGGCGCCTTTGTCTGATTTTATTTCCCCGGTGGCTGTTCCATCATCCGCTTCGTCCCCACAGAAGCTCTCAGCTGTGTCTAATTTCCATCTGCAGCGATGACTCACCCTGCCCACGCCCCACCCCTCCCCAGCCCGGCCAGGGAAGCGCTCCTCTGCGGGACTCGTTCTGGCCGTTTCCTCCGTGCGCCCTGGGTTCTCCCCCCTCTCTTCTCCGGTCCTTTCTAGAAGACAACAGTCGGAAAGTGGTTGGGTCCCCAGACCTGGGGGACGGTACCAGTGCC